TTTTACTTGATGGATGCAAGGTTCACTGATCATGTTGTATGTATGTTAATGATACAACAGCGATATTATGTTTCAAAATAAAGAATGTTAGATTGACTACTATAAGACAAATGTGTTGAGAATAACACACAGTAAAAACAAAGCGGTAAGATGAGGTCACAGCAGTACCAAGAACACAACATCAGTTAATGCCTTACAATAAAACAATGCCCCTCCTTTAAATATTTGGGCATTTCTTTCTATCACCTGAAGGTATACCTAAATATAGTTTTAACAACTGCCTAATTGCATGGTTCTGGTTATTATTCTAATCCAGAAAAGAGAGAGTTAATTATCCCTACATTTAAAATGTTCTAGGGCAAAGTATTTCCACAAATTTTGTGTAAGACTGAGATTTGGAATCAGAATAGTATTGCCCAGCTGTAAATAGTCAAAATTAATGTCTGCTGCACACTTATCATGGAGATGATACGGCTTTGAAGCTTATTAAACTCACCTAAATCGCTAAACATTTTAAGAAACCTGTTCGCCTCCCAGATGACTACTTGCTATCTAGTTAGATTTCCTTATTGGCCTTATTGTGGAGAAAATCAGTGGACAGGACATGCCCAGTCTTATATACTGCAAATGCCACTCAGAAGGAATTAAATCCTGAGATAGTAAAAGATGCATGATTGGCTCTGGAAGCAGAAATGTAGACTTCATCTAAAGCTCAAGTTTCTCCCTTTGGTATCCTCATTTTAAGAAAAACAGATTCTATACAGTACCTATTCAAGCTGACAAGTAGCCTCATTTATCAAATTACATGCCTAAATGATATCCCCATTCCTTCCTCGAAAGCAAATTCCACAGAATATTTAAAGAGTAGCTTTTTTGCCCTTATGGCCAGAGACAGATGGAGAACATCACACATGATGTCCTAGGCTGATCTTTTTATGATGTGATTAAGACAAAAACACACAGCCAAATTACTGACAACTTCATGGACTGCAAAGTGAAATGGATAGAATCTTTACTAGCAGATGCGTTCTCTCATATTACGTAATGACCAAGTGGCCATTTCTATTCCATTTCAATATATGTACCGATCAAACCTTCCAAGACCTTTAGTTAGGTTGCAGTTTGGAGGCTAGCTTTACACAGTTTTTAGTCAAATTACAACCACAATTGAGTCCAAAATTTCTGTTGTTAAGTGAGACATTTGTTAAGTGAGTTTTGCTCTGTTTTATGACCTTTCCTGCCTCAGTTGTTAAGTGAATCACCGTAGCTGATAAATTAGTAATCCGGTTGTTAAATCAATCTGACTTCCCTATTGACTTTGCTTGTCAGAAGATCGCAACCGTCATAAATATGAACCAGCATCTGAATTTTGATCACATGATCATGGGAATGCTGGAGTCGTAGCTGTGAAAAACAGTCATAACTCTTTTTTTCAGTGCCATTTTAACTTTAAACGGTCACTAAATGAACTGTTGTAAGTCGAGGGCTACCTGTAGTGGAACTTTGGAGAAAATGTAAATTTGCTAAAATTTTACTTCTTTCTCTTTCTGCATTATGCAATGTGTCATTATAACAATAAACTTTACTGACTTACATACTTAATCTATAACATAGGGTCCACAAGGGCCAGCCAGGTAATCCAAAAAAACACCATGGATAATGGCAATGAATTTTACTAAGTAGAAGTGCTTCATTCACACCCTACACTAAGGCAATACATTTTAGTGTTAATGTTTTGGCCAAAGCCCCTGTTCAAGTGGATCCAGAAAACTAGCATCATGAAAATGTTTTTGATGTTTATGCTACTTTCTTGATCACTTTTCCCAGAAGAGCAATATTTGAGACAGTCAATAACTGGACTCAGACAGAATATAAATGTTATAAATAAACAAACACAGATATCTCAGGTCAAGGGAGATTCGCTTCACGAAATATTTCATTATTAAATGTTCCATTTTGTAGAACGTCACTAATGAGATTGTTTCCACTCATATCTTAACATTGTTTTTTTAAAAAAATCTCCTAATGAAAAGTAATTTTAATCAGTGCATCTTACATCTAGTCCTTTATGTTTTATAATCTAATTCTCATTATCTCAAAACTTAATTATACACCTATCTGATAAAACACAGTGGGAATATTTTCAATCCAGGAATAGATTGAAAATTTGTGAATGTATCTATCTACATGGATCCAAAAGCAAAAACTGCATGCATTTAATATGAACCATCATCCAATAGGATAGGTCCATTTAAAAAGCAGTCCACTCTATAGACTTCTGCACCCCACATTATATTGGTGTCATTACTTTTGGCAAAATAATATAATGCAAGCACAAGAAGATTAAATTGTTTATGATACTAAATATCTCAGGTATATTAAAAATACCTGAGGTATTTTTAAACTACAATTTGCAAGTATTAAATTTAAGAAAAGAATGCTATTTGAAAGTTCTTGGAGCAAAAGGCAGGATTAACAAATGGCTTGCTTTCGATTTGTTTTGAAAAAAGTTATTTATTGATTTGTTTTAGTGTTTGAGAAAGTGACATAGTGCTGGATAATTTAGCAAAGGGGATTAGCTCTTTAAAAAACAACACCACTGCTTGAAGAACAAGAGTAAAGTGAACTCAAATCATTTAACAGCCTTTCTTATGTAAAATGTTTTCAAACAGTTAGCATAGGCATTAATTTTATTAAGAGGGCTTTGGAATAGAAAAAGAATTTTTTATTATGGTCACAGACCAGAATTACAGATTAAAAAAAATAAAAAAGAGGGTTTTACAGTTGGGGAAATCTTGTCATTTATTTCACTAGTTTCTACTTAATGCTTTTAAATCAGCAGTTTTACAGTAAATTACAATTATCTTTTAATATTTCTTTTTTTTATATTTTAAGCTTAATATTTCAAAACATATTTCATTCCTCCCTCCAAAAAATATAGTTAAAATTTAACTCCATTTCTTTTAGATTTGATTATTGCACTTTTCTGGTGTACCTACCCTTATTTAAAGTCAGTTTGAATGCTATTTACAAGCATATGTTTAAATATCATTTCAATATTATTTCTCTCCCCTTTTCTGTCTTTTTATCCACCAGATTAATTTCAAATCTATAAATATTTCCAGTATTTGGGATTTTTTTAATGCTCTTCAATGACCATAAAATCTTGACAACCATTGGGAAGCAGTCAGATAATTTTTTGTTTCTCTTTGCTGACATTTAATGGTCAAATAGATTTTTGCAGCCCAGATCAGATAGCCCTTCCTCAGGAATCCATTTAGTTAATTATCGTGTTTAAGGTTTTTTTTTTCTCCATTACTTTTCCTTACACAAATTTTCTCTTTAGTATTACAGCTTTTTTCCTACAAACTATGGCTCTTGAATGTTTTGTCTGATGACTAATTCAGAACTGCTACCTTATTCAGATTTTTACTGAATACTGAAAAGTTATCTACTTATTCAACCATTTATTACCTAATACCTTTCTCTTTTCTCTTTCTTTTCTTTTTTCCCTTTCCCTCTTTAGATTAATTATAACGATTTAATTTTATCCATGTTATAAATAGTAAAAATATGTTTTACTTATAATTGTACTTTGATTGGTCATTCTGTGATGTAACTTGTTCTGGACATCTAACTGAAGAGCAATATCAAAACCTCAACAAACTAATATATTTGCTTTATGCTGCTTCAATGTCCACTATAAGTAAACACAATTAAAATTCAAAGGGATCTCACTATTATAGACATGACAAACATTGAGATACTATTAAAATTTCTATCGAAGTATAATTTGTATTACAGCATTCATAAAAATTTGATTACAGCAATTACAAATCATATTTCTATTAATAAAGATATGCAATTTGATTCAACGAATCGTACATTAGTATCATTTGTATATACTTTATACTAATAAATGATGCCTCATCATTTATTAATATTGGTTATAGCATGTGGAATAAATTTTATTTCACATCCTTAGCTTCTAACTATACGTAAATGAAAGCTATTCCCATTGCCTTAAATAAACCTTAAAACATAATTTTTATTAGTGAATTTTAAACCTGCATTTCAGTTCAAGATAAAATAAAATATTAAATACTTCAGAATAGTCTCTAGAATGGTTATGAATAATAAACCAAAATGTCTGAAATGTTTTAAAATGTGCTAAATTAATGAGAGAAAAACATAAATTTCAGACAACTCAAGTCATTACAAAAGCCCTCAGAATCAATGTTCTAATTCTGTTGTCAGCTGAAGCAACGCATTTTTATCTAGCATACCTCTGAATAAGATTTGTATTCCTACTGCTTTGAAAACACTAGATTTTAAGATTCTACCAATGTTGGCAACATGATTTACAAGACTATAAATGTAATATTTGTGGCTCTTATGTAATCCAGCATAAATATCTTTATCTGGCAATACATTGGCCCTTATAGAATACAGGTAGTCTTTGACTTACAACCACAATTGATCTTCAAACATTTTTATTGCTAACCAACACAATTTTTAAGTGAGCTTTGTCCTATTTCATGACCTTTCTTGCCACAGTTGTTAAGTAAATCTGGCTTCCCCATTGATTTTGCTTGCCAAAAGGTCACAAAAGGAGATCACATGACCCCAGGACAATGCAACAGTCATAAGCACATGCCAGTTGCCATGCATTTGAATTTTGGCCACATGACCATGGCGATGCTGCAACTGTTGTGTGTGAAAACCAGTCATAAGTCACTTTTTAAAGTGCTATTGTAACTTTGAACGATCACTAAGCAAATGATTGTAAGTCGAGGACTATCTGTATAGAATACCTAACTGATAAGCAACTGATAACACGGTATGTTTTATTAAATGTATTGGTAAGTCAGAAGGAAATACACATGAGAAACAGGATTGAAAAGGGTGAGAAAGAGAAGGAAGAAACATATGCCATTAAAATACTAATATTAAAGTACTAAATTTCAGATTGAGTGTGCATTACAATCCTATTCTCTTACCTTGTTTCTTTTGAAGTATGCTCTCCGGCAAGCTGCAAAGCATTTTTCACTGCAGAAGCATTTCACTTCACTCCCCATACTCAGAGAATAGCGTTTGATTCCCACTTTCTGGCACCAGGCACACATGATTTGTACATTTGATATATCATCTTCTGCAACAAAAAGACAAGGAGAGTATTTGTATACCAGAAGAAGCATTGTGTAAAACATCCATAAAAGATTAATTTTCATGTCTACCTTTTTACAAACATATATGTTTGCACCTTTTGGATTTTCTGCTAATTTCTAAAGCAGGTGACCAGGAATCCCTTATTGTTTAACTGAATGGAAAGTACAGCTATTTTGTAAATATTAGAGCATATGTTGCAACTTTTAGAGCTTTTAGCATTTTGAGAAAGCCCTGGACTTTCTATATTTATTCCCATGCCCCCTCCTCCCAATTAATTATAGCTCCAGACAGTAACAACAGCATCATCTACTCACAATGATTATAAACTCATTTCCGTTTTATCAGTTTTGTTAGACTGAACATTTATAGAGAAAGTAGTGAAATTGCATTAATAAACGCCGTATTATTTACATGCATTGAAGAGAAGCTAAATAAATACTCAGGAATGTTAGGCTAAGTAGACTCACTGAAAAAATAAACACCCATTATTTTATGACAGGGGTCTCACTCAAAACTCACAAGCCACTTTTGGGTGGTTTGCTCTTTAGTGACAAATAGAGCAGGCAAGTAGGGCAACAGCTTGCTCATCTCCTAACTCTGCATCAAGATATTATGTGTATGGAGATTCTCAAGTCATCCAGGTCATGGTTGTCCCAAAGGTGCTTTTTCAAAAGGCAACTGGACTTTCTTCTTTTTCTTTGAAAAACAAGGAAGTCCAGTTGCGTCTTGAAAAAGCACCTTTGGGGCATCAAGGTATTATCACAGCTCAAGCCAGGGCCAATCAGGTTTCTACTAGCAGAGACCACATCAGGAGTGCTTCCTTGTCCCTATCGCTTGGCAGGATCACCATTCTATCCTTGGGCTGGATTGCCTGTTCTCCGAATTCATGTTTAGCATGGTGTGCTTAAAGATGCTGCTTCTGCTTCTAACTTCTCATGTTGGGAGAAAAAAATAGTATAAGGAAAAACAAGAGATCCCACATGCTCTGTCACTTGTAACTGACCTGAAGAAGCTCTATGTTTTCTACACAGCTCTCCCTATAACAATCTTCCTTATTCTAGCACAGGCAGATAATGGCCCAGCCCCCTCTGGGCCGTACGTTAAGACCCGATTTGCAACAGACCTGCTATGTAGATAACATCTGAACTCTAAAATAGTTAACATTGAAAAATACCAAATGGCAATTGCTTTTTTCCTAATGTATTTATTTAATCAATTTTACCGTGCTTTCGGTTTAGAAGTCATCTGAAACTAAGCTAAATCTGCAGGAATTAGGTCTTGTGAGAGAGCCCCATGTGCCAAATTGAAGTCATTTTTTTCCCTTTCCTGTTCTGAGATTCACCAATATCATCTTTATTTCTTGGCAGAATTGGAAATATTTTCCAAGCATAGATTTGCAACACTCTTCTGAGCAGATAAATCCTGCCCACTTTTATATAATTAAGTTTCAAGAGTTTCATGCCATTATTCAACAACAAGCAAACCAAGTAATGAAATATTAACCACAGAAGTGGCCAGAGAAGTGGCCAATGTGAAATAGCTAAGAAGTATGTTTTTCATTTAGAAAAATCATTGAATAAGTGCCTGTTTAAGATCATACAATGGTATTTTATTTCTTCATTTCTTTTTTTTTTTTTTTACTAGTTAGAGAGTTTTTCCAAATATGTGTTAGTATTATGATATTCATAAAGAAGCCTTTTAGTTAAGGTAAACCTGGGATTGTTCTTGATAAATAGTTACAGGTACTCCTCGACTTAAGACCACAATTGAGTCCAAAATTTCTGTTGTTAGTGAGACATTTGTTAAGTGAGTTTTGTCCCATTTTACAACATTTCTTGCCACTGTGGTTGATAAATTAGTAATCCAGTTTTTAAGTGAATCTGACTTCCCCATTGACTTTGCTTGCCAGAAGATCACAAAAGGGGATCACATGATCCCGGGACACACTCATGGTCATAAATATGAACCAGTTGCCAAGCATCTGAATTTTGATCACATGATCATGGGGATGCTGCAAAGGTCACAACTGTTAAAAACAATCATAAATCTGTGACGTGAGCCACCATTAAAATTGAAACTATTTTTTAAACATCACAGTTTAGCTAGAAAGACCAAGCTAGAAAGCAGGAAACAGTGAGTTCTAGTCCTTCCTTAGCCATGAAAGCCGGCTGGGTGACCTTGGGCCAGTCTCTCTCTCTCAGCCCAACCCACCTCACAGGATTGTTGCTGTGGAAAAAATAGGAGGGGAGAAACTATGTTGGATATGTTTGCCTCCTTGAGTTATTTGTAAAAATAATAAAAAGAGGATACAAATAAATGAATAATAATACATTGTAAAGAAAGAAAACTTGATGGTATGATCACTGCTGTCTACTACAGGTCTATAAGAAAGAGAGAAAATTGTGTTAAGGCTGATTTTATAGCCCCTACTAGATTTTAAAACAAAGCATTTCCCAGCAGTAAATCAATTCAGCAGCAATATTACTGACAGCTTGTTACCTAACAGTTTAATTTTCCCTTTTTACTTAAGGGATAATCTCTTTTTATGTCATAGTAAGCCTAGATTTCATTTGCTGTCTTGTCTGAAGAATTAGCATGATATAAGAAAACAATCTCTTTCTTCTAAAATCTGACTCCAGCTTCATGTTTTTGCAATAACACATTTTTGTCAGGGATAACAAAAAGGAAGAATATGAGAGGCAAAGAGAAAAAATGTGGAGGAATACTGTATGTGCCTAATTGTCTTGAGAAGCTTTTGTGTTTGAAGCATTTGTAGAGTACTATCGTATTGCTTCTTTGTTACCTTTCCGCAAAGTTAAATATATTTACGTCGTCGCCAGAAGCAGGGGACCGTGATACCGAAAGCCACTTAGTCTTGCTAAAGATGCATTGAAGCCTGTTGTTCCCCTTCAAACCCTCACAGCCTCCAGAGTCCAAGGTAGAATCTCTACAGCAGGGGTGTCAAACTCAAGGCCCACGGGCCAGATCTGACCCACGGGGTACTTATATATGAATCAGTAGCAGTGGTGGTATTCAGCCAGTTCTATCTGGTTCAGGCGAAGTAGAAGCGGCAATGGTGGGAGGCTCCACCCACCTGCCCCGATGTCATCACGTCCCGTTTTTGATGATCTGTGCATGCGCTCACATTTGCGAACCGGTAACGAAGGTAAGTAAATACCACCCCTGATCAGTAGCCAAGTGACCATAGGGCTGGTGCAACAATTGTGAGTGTGAAGAATAGTCATAAGTCACTTTTTTCAATGTCATTGTAACTTCAAACAATCACTAAATGGACTGTTGTAAATTGAGGACTACCTGTATCATAGATGTTTATAAAATACAGATAATCTAAAATTGTTTACTCTGGATGTTTTTCAGAACTAGTGATACCACTAATATCATTTTTGTGTGCCTGAAATCTAGAACAAGTTTATTTACCTCTAGTCAAAAAAATAAAATCTTCATATTAATATCCTCAAAATGAACTACACCAGAGTAAAATCCTTTTAGTTACCTACCACTTTTTCTATGATGCTGTAAAAACATATTTAGAACAGCATGTGTTTAAAAATGCAAACGCAGTTTTTGAAACACAAACAATAAAATATCTGCACTGTTTATCTCAATAAACATCTGTGCTGTTGTAAACAGAGCAGTAATATCAACACAAATTCCATGCTGTTGGAGGACTAAAATGATTGCCTCTATTATTCAGAGTTATTCAGGGCATTCCGAGTTATATTTCCTACTCCAAGGTTATAACTTTATAGATGGAAATGGGTCAAAACTAAACTGTTGTAGAGACAGTTATTACCATCTCCTTATTGTTTACCAGCCTTTGTACGTTTCTTAATGAACAATGCAATAAACACAGTGTTCACAGTGTTAAATCATGCTCCCCGTGGGATCTGTCTGTGTAACAAGATAAAATTATCACATTATAATAACTAAATATGCATCAGGCAAACGCATGCTTCAATTAATCATCAAAAGTTTGCAGTGCCATTTTAAGTCTTAATTAAGAAGAACGTTCAATGACTTCCCGCTCTACACCATCACTAGCTGCTTTTCCATTTAAAATGAATGATTTACAGAAGAGTCTGCCACCAAAAAGTTAATGAAAGTCATTTTGGCCAACTTGTCCACCAACTTCATTTCCCCCCTCCTCTCGACTTTACTCGGAAAGAATACCATCACCACTATGAAATATTTTTTTTAAAATTAAATTAAATTAAATTATATTTATTTATTTATTTATTTATTTATTTATTTATTTATTTATTTATTTATTTATTTATTTATTTATTTATCGAATTTCTATACCGCCCTACTCCTGGAGGACTCAGGGCGGTGAACAGCCAAGATAAAATACAATACTAGCAAATACAATACAATACTAGCAATAATTCTAGCAAATGCTATTTTGTTTAAAGAAATCTACATATACTGGGTCTCATCTTTTTCAAAAAAAAAATAGTGTAGGGTCAGGGCTTTTTTATTATAATAACTTTTAAAATTATTTCAATATACCTATTGAAATTTTTGCAGAAGAGTTTGCAAGAGAAACTGCAAGATGAAAAGTATAGATGTATTTTATCATTAAGTAAGATTAACAATTGGTCTCACAAATCAAATTCAGTCTAATTTAATAAGATTCTAAATTAGATTCTAATTTAACATTATTCCTACGATGTTTCTGCATACTTGAAATATATGTAAATATCCAGTATTGTAAAAGGAAAAAATAATTTTAGTCAATGACGAATTCTCTTTTCCCCCTCTACTCCCTGGGCACCCACAAAAGCCTCTTGAATCAGAGGGTTATTTTCAGAAATGTATGAACCGTTGTTGAGCTATAACATTCTGGTGGTAATTTACTGAATGTTTCTAGTATGATGCTAATCAAATATTGTTCAGATCACCAGCAATGATTCCATTTTCTTTTGTTGGATTTGGACTGGAAGGCAATCTGGGGAAATGGTT